GGGGAATGAAGGTACTTTAAATGATGTAGAATATTATAGCTGTTGAGAAGTAATAGAAATATAAGTTTGAATATATATTGCCTAATATGAACAAATATACATGAGCATGATTTGTCAACCATAGCAATATAAATGATACCAATGTCCTGTGTATATACACATAGCACACAGAGAATTGACATGTATCATCATATTGGTTTATCATCCAAGCTCTAATATAAAAAAACATTTTTTTTTAAATTTGCAAGCATGCACACTGAAATTAATGTTGGTGATCGTTTAGAATTAAAAAGATAATCTATTGTTATTAATACTGAAAATAAGACGGAGAAAGTTCAATAACGATATGATTTGCCAAGGCTTCTGTGAATTTATGCTGGTCATGCTGTCAGATGTTAATTTTTCATGCAAGTTTTGATATTTGAATGTTTCAGTGGACTGAGGGGCCTTGTCCGTTCCATCTAAACACGACGGTGGGCTCCAGTAACATGCTGTGAACATCAGGAAAGACATGGATATTTGTATGATATCAACCATGAACTACGACACGTTGCAGTGTAAAACTCAACCAGGACTCGGGACACAAAGTTCATTCAGGACCGATGTGGCAGCTGCATTAAGTTCAGTGAGGAGTGAAGACTGGTGACACAGCTGGGCGAAGTTTATTCAGGTGATGCAACTGCATAACATTAAACCTGGACGGACAATACAGCTGCATCAAACCATGGATAGCTCTGTAGCGTAGAGTTTAACCAAATTTGACCGCTGTGCCGCAGCAAGTTAAACCAGGATTGACAACACGGCTATACTGAAGGAGGATTTGTTTGTCGGGGTTCTCTTGATCACCAAGACCGTTTACTTACTCAACATGGCACTTTTCCAGTACAGATTGTGTATTGGGAATGTTAAGCAGTAACAGTGCACTCTATGTAGCCCTATGTTGGATGTGGTAGTACAAGTTTGTGTGCTTCAGAAACTCACAAATGGTGAATACTGTATTAAATACAGCATTACCATAGTATTTTAAGACTGGTGTATACTGGGTACATGTATCAAATTCAAATAGACTTTAACCAAGCTAGGCTCATTCTGTTAAATAGCTTTCATAGGTCTTAATAAAAAGTCTGAGGTTTCAAAGTTCAAATCAGTTTTGAACATTATTTGAGAAAACACAATGTATCCTTCAAAATTTCATCGAGATGGAGGAAAATCCAGCTCTTTGTAAGATTGAAAATCTCAAGTTGTTGATCACACAAAACTGATGCCTTCGTGGATATTTTTTGGTGTTTTGGTCAATTTTCAAAATACAATTATGTATTACTTATATTTTTAAAGGTTTTCCTTTTTTGGGGGTAAATTTGTGTTAAGCATCGATCTCAAGTCAAGCTTTCATGGGAACAGCAATTTACACATAACGTGTGATACAAACTTAGCGTGAAATACAAATAATTTTGTCGTTATGATTACGTACAGAAAATTCAGGTTGTATAATTCATTGTGGTGAAGTTTTAAACTATCTACTGTAAATTCACAGATAAATGACTAAGGTTGAAACCAATTGAGAGAAATGTTTTTCATAATTTCATGGTACATGTCAATAATTGTGAAATTATTTTAGAGTTCTATGAACATATAGGCACAACAGATTATCATTTGGCTACATCCAGTTAGTTGAAAAGTTTGTGTATGGAAATCCTTCAAAGTTTGTGTATGGACATTTTTCAACAGTGACAACATTTTAAAAGTGTAAAATCCTGATGTTTAAACAAAACTGTCCAGCCTAACAATTTCTGTTTTTCTAGTACATATGTATCTAGATGGGTGTTTGACCTAATCGTTTCGAGGTCATTGTGAAATATAGACACATCATATTCTGTCAATATATGGGTATTGAAGGATGGAGGTGGGAAAATGGCAGCAAAAGATGTAGATTTACTTTATAAAGTGAAACAGTGGCAGAAATGGATCTAAATGTAATGTACATTGGCAAACAGGACGGAGAGTTGTTATTACAGAAACAGAAAGTCCTGTGGAGCGACACTGTAGGGGGAGAGAAAAAAAACAACAGAAAAACAATAAAAAATGTTGTTACAGAAAACCATATTGAACAAATAAAACAATAGAGTACAACCAAGTCTGGGCTTTTTGGTTCTCCACGTGTATATGAACTTTACCTATGCACATGTTCCATACCTAGCTAGGCATGTGTATATGTACATGTTCTATACCTAGGCATGTGTATATGTACATGTTTGCCTGCGTTAACATACAAACATAAATGTGGACTGTACATGTTCTATACCTAGGCATGTGTATATGTACATGTTCCATACCTAGGCATGTGTATATGTACATGTTCTATACCTAGGCATGTGTATATGTACATGTTCCATACCTAGGCATGTGTATATGTACATGTTCTATACCTAGGCATGTGTATATGTACATGTTCCATACCTAGGCATGTGTATATGTACATGTTCTATACCTAGGCATGTGTATATGTACATGTTCCATACCTAGGCATGTGTATATGTACATGTTCCATACCTAGGCATGTGTATATGTACATGTTCCATACCTAGGCATGTGTATATGTACATGTTCCATACCTAGGCATGTGTATATGTACATGTTCCATACCTAGGCATGTGTATATGTACATGTTCCATACCTAGGCATGTGTATATGTACATGTTCCATACCTAGGCATGTGTATATGTACATGTTCCATACCTAGGCATGTGTATATGTACATGTTCCATACCTAGGCATGTGTATATGTACATGTTCCATACCTAGGCATGTGTATATGTACATGTTCCATACCTAGGCATGTGTATATGTACATGTTCCATACCTAGGCATGTGTATATGTACATGTTCCATACCTAGGCATGTGTATATGTACATGTTCCATACCTAGGCATGTGTATATGTACATGTTCCATACCTAGGCATGTGTATATGTACATGTTCTATACCTAGGCATGTGTATATGTACATGTTCCATACCTAGGCATGTGTATATGTACATGTTCTATACCTAGGCATGTGTATATGTACATGTTTGCCAGCGTTAACATACAAACATAAATGTGGACTGTTCATGTTCACAACACATGTTTATACTTGCATGTATGCAGGACATGATTAAGTACCAATATATAATTCAATGTTTTCTGTAACAAGTTAGACAGCCATATTTCCAATATAGACTTTTCTGAGGACAAATTTGTTTTGGTTATGTAACGCCTGTTTATGAAAAAAAATCACTTTGGACCTGGGTAGTTCATTCCTTTTCACACTTCAATTTATTTTCACACCCTGATTTATTTGTGACAATTTCATGTGTTGACGTTAGACATGCTTATCTGAAAACAGAGATTGTGATTTATTTATACAATGAAGTCACCAATCCTGATATTTTCAAAAGTATATTGACGTCATCTTGATTTTTAGTTCACACTAACAGCAAAATGTACATAAAGGCTACTAGTATGTGAGAAAAAGCTAATATAAGTTGCTGTTCATCATTTTTCCAATCTTGTTGATTGAATTACACATTATGAGCTTGAAGATTGGCAATAATTACAGTTAATTTATGCCATAGCCTCTATCTGTAACAGTACACCAAGGTTAACTGGTATGTTTTTCCTATAAATATCTCCCCATTTGGTTTATACCAATGCTGAACTCAGGTGATGAAGGTTTCCAATATTAAACAAGTTTTTATCAGTTTTATTAAAAATAAAAACATTTGGCTTCTTCACGTAAACTAACATTTACTGGTAACACTTCTGTAGCAGTGAGTATGATCTGCTCTTTGTTAGATAATGACATTGTACCGTGGCCTGTCTAGACAGGACCCTGTGTAAGACAGAAACCTATACATCAGACCTTCAACTAAGCTCCACTCTACATTTCTTTCTCAGTTAAACCTGTGTAAGCCCCAACTTTATGTTTCAAATTAATACAAATGTAATGCTTTGGCTTAGATGGGTTTCACTTCTAAAACATTAAGACACCTGTGCAGTGAACAACTCTGTTTATCAGTGTGTAGCATTAAACTGCAGGTTTTATTGCAATAATACAATAGGTATAGTCTCTCCACCTCAGGAAGTATGTGTCTGGCTAATGTACTCACAGAGGGATTTTACCTGTGAAAGTTCATTTGTATTTAAGTTAAAAAAGAGTGGCAGTGTCCTGTCCATGTAACTACAATGTTTATTGACCTGACAATGTTTTTTTTTTTTTTATTATGATATACTTGCTGGCTATTTGATTTATGCATTAACACGAATAGATCAGTATTTTTTACAAAAATGTGATCATGAAGAATCATGTTCTAAGGTTTTGAAATTCTGATTATCTTCAAAAGAAAAGAAACATGAAGAAGAAGAGAAAAATATGTTCACGTTTTAAAGATATTTTACTGATCATGTAACATGAAAATATTCATTATTGTGTATACACTGCCCTTTTTAGTTGGTGCATGAGTTGTGCTAAATTTTGAGTGTTTTTCAAAGTTGAAGGTCACATACTAAAATAGAAGTACAACGTCCAACTTTAAATGCAATAGTAAACATTTCACAAGCACATCCCCAATTGCTACACAGGAGATTTGTTTTGGGAACACTCTGCCCCTACACTCTGCCCCTATCAGCTTTCTTGTTTCTGTTTTGTACTTTGTGTAAAAAAAACGTTCAGATGTCAGTTTTTCAACATTGGTTAAAAACTTAACAGTACTGGTCATAAGCGCACGCAGATATTTACCGAATACATGTTTTAGTGCTTCGTACTACCAACTTAACTTTAACCTGGGTCAGGAACAAGTATTCATGTTTTCTAGGTATTCAATATCTGTTCATAAAAAAAACTTGGCTTAGGCAGTTTAAGCCATAATTATCTGTTTGAGTAAGAGTTGGAATTGATTTGCAAAGTTTTGTTAAACTGGATTTCACTGTACAGTGTATACAATTGTATACATATCTGTAAAACAATGGTCTGTGTTAAGCCACCTGCTTCTCTGTAGATACTCCAGCCAACCATGTTCTCAGTAAATATCCAGCCAACCCTGTTCTCAGTAGATATCCAGTCAACCCTGTTCTCAGTAGATATCCAACCACCCCTGTTCTCAGTAGATAATCCAACCACCCCTGTTCTCAGTAGATAATCCAACCACCCCTGTTCTCAGTAGATAATCCAGCCACCTTCGTCCTCGACAGAAGTGGCTATATTGTCAAACAGCTATATTACTGGAACAAATTTGCATACAAAAAGGCAAATTTGTCACTTAAAACTTTTAATTCTGGCTTTAAGGGGGACAATCGTGTTAATGTATATTTTAAGGGGGACAATCTGTCCTCTTCAAACACTGGCTAGATATTGGGACAACTGGATTGGAATTTAAGAGGTTGACCATATTTAATAGGATATAATACAGGATTAAAACATACCAGTGAAGTTTTGTTTGTGGTCCTGGCCGTATTGATATAGAATTGGGAGTAAGGATTAAATTGGAAGTAAGGATTCTTGTTTTATAAATGCATGAATTTTGTTATTCTAGACATTTTGGGGAAAACAATATTTGTGCTGTTGACAATAGGTCCTGCTGTACCGTTTCGTGATTTGATTTTGGTCTGTGGTACAGTTCGTAAAATCATTGATCTTGAATTAAATGTATTGTATTGTGCCATTTTTTACTGCATTTGAATCAGAACTGATAGAAATAGAAGGTATTTTTGCAGTAAGATCATTTCATTGTTAAATGTCACCTGATCATGTAATTTAACTATGTTGACTAATGTGAAAGGCAGCAGATGAAGTGTGTGTAATATTTACATTTTGTGTAGACATAGTGTACATGTGTGCTTGTCAATATCTGTTATGATAAACACCACACATTATGAACCCGATTTTCACAAGAATTAAACCTATACCAGCACCTTTTGACACATAGGGGAATGGGGCACATGTGATATTTGACAGGGACAGAAGTAGATGGGCAGGTTATGGGATGGAAGTATATACACTAATAGAATTCAGGCAGAAAGATAGGGACAAGATTGGCGTTGATTATGAGCTGGGACAAGCATATCCGCCACCTATTTCTGCCCCAGTCATCACCTGTTCCACCATCTCTCCCACAAAAGATGCTTATATGAAGTAAAATTTTAACTTATTCCATTTCTTCAGTTTTAATATTTTACATGTTTAAACAATTTCAGATCTCTTAAAATAATGGTTTGAAAATTGCTCTTCTTCACTTTATAAAATTTGTCGGGTGTAATTTTTATTCTTGTAATATTTTACCTACTGAAATGGTTAACGCCAAACATTTCTGAGACCTGATTTTGCAATGAGACATGTTTTAAGTATCACTGATGACAAAGAATTCTATTGTTTATACTCAATTATAAATCATATATTAAAACAGTGTTTAAGTAAGTGTATTTCTGCGCAGGAAATAATAATTTAAGCCCACACAGATGTCCACAAGAAGTACCAGGTATTCATAGCAGGATAGGTTTCTTGACAAATGACTTTCTATGAATAGATAAATTAATAAGGGGTATAGAAGATCGATTTTGTTTAATGAACAATCAGATAATTGGGGGGATTGGAGGGAGCTGCTGTTCTTATGACTTTATAAAGTGTATTTACTTTATACAGTTTATATTTACTGTATAAAGGGTTATATTTACTGTGTTCTGGGTTATATGTACTGTGTTATATTAACAGTATACAGGGTTATTTTAGTTGAAATGTTATTAATATGGCAAGGTGACTCTGAACTCAACAGAAACTGCAACAGTGAATGTTGCTTATCAATCAATGCAACAGACCATTCAATCTCTAAAAAAAAATGCAAACTTAGCATTTTACAAATTAACACTGCACAAAATGAAGTGTATTTTCTCATCAGAAGTTATGTAGGACCAATGTGTAGTGATAGACCACAAATTCAGGTCTGTATGTTAAACGTCCAGATCTGGTGTCTTGATACTTTTAGTGTTAATTTAGGTCTGGCTTATCGTCTACAAATCTATATCAGTGTTTGAAATAAACCATTTTCAATTAATTGTTGAAAACAAACACGAGGGAATCTTTTTTCTGCACAATATTAACTGTTTGCTCTGCCAGGATCATTATCAACGTGTCAAAATCTGT